ATATGCTTAAACCAAAATAGCTAGAGAGTTTTATGGAATATCTCTCTTAAGGATTCTTTAAATCAATTTCGGTTGACGGGGATCTATTTACTAGATAGGAAGAAATGTTCACTAATTTTGCCTAAAATTGCTTCGATAAATCATCAAATAAACGCACTCATCTTGCAGTTGCATAAGTGTTTGCTTCGTCCATTCTGCCGCTGCATTTTGATGTTGTGTGTGTCGTACATGGTAGTGCCCTACTATACCTTCTATTTTGTAAAACTTGTCAAACAGTGCATTCCAAACTCTAACTCATTATCCGTTTTGAGTGACTTAAATTGTTTCACTGTCCATTTTCAACCATAGTCTTCCACTCCTTGAACTTTCCAAAAACTTCATATTTTATCTTAAAAAAAAATACAATGATGCCTTCTTTGAATTGTCATCAATGAAAGTGACAAAGTATGAGCATCCACCATGAGATTTCACCGAATAAGGACCCTATAAATCTAAATGAACATATCCGAGACTTTCATTGATTGTATCTTGACCAAAAATGAACTTAACTCCATGCTGTTTTCCTTTGACACAAGCTTCACATATTTTGACTGTTCTAATTATTTCTCCACCAAACAACCCCTATTCACTCAAGATCGACATACCCTTATCACTCATGTTCCTTAATCTATAATGCCATAAATATTTCTTGTCATCATATTGTTCCAATGATTGGCATACAATCACCGTTTATGTACTTATGCTAGCTTTTAGAGAGTAAATATCTTGTTGCAGCTTTCCTTTCATAAATACAAGAGCTCCTTTGCATACTTTTATCCAATCATCTTCACTAGAATACTTCAAACTATTATTGGCCAAAGTTCCAATAGAAATCAATTTCTTCCAAAGACCATGAACATACCAATAGTCGAGTTTTCTAACCATACCATCATGCAATTTTATATGTACCGTTCCGTTGCCCTTGATATAACCATCCTATCCTCACCCATATTTATTATTCCATTCAATTCTTTAAAATATTTGAAACCAATCAGGGTATCCAATAATATGGTGAGATGCACTCGAGTATAAGATCCAAATATTTGTAGAACTAGTTGTGTATACAGTCAAAGCTTCACATTTGTTCCCTTCATCAGAATTATAACAAACAATAAATGTAGTGTCATTACTGCTTGATATAACTATGGGATTCCCATTCTTTTGTTGTGGACAATCTCTTCCGTAGTTTATTTCCTTGCAATTATAACAATTAATCTTATAGGAATATTTAGAGTTGGAACATGACTTTCCCATGTTTTTACCATCTCTTGTGTTCTATACCTACAAACAAATTAGCTTAAACTAGAAGCTTCTTTATTACAAGAAACGCTATACGTTTTAGTTCCTTAGACAACAAAAAATCCTTCATGTCATTGACAATATTTGTTGTTCGACTATAGAACATACTATCAACGAAATTCTCATAAGAATTCGACAGAGGATACAAGAAAATAAGAGTTTGATCATCATTTTCAATTTTAACGTCAACACATTGTACATCAAGTAAAATATGATTAAAATTATCCAGTTGATCCTTTACTTGGGAACTTCCTATCATCGAGAGGGTATACAAACGTTCCTTCTAATACAACAAATTTGTGAGAGAACTGTTCTGATACTTATCACCAAGTTTCTCCGAAAGCCACTAACAGTCGTTTGATCGAAAATCTCCTGTAACACCTTATCAGTCAAGCTTAACAACATAGTGTTACACGCTTTTGTTAAAATATCCTTCCTTATCATCTCAACCATGTCTTTTGATAATCTTACTTCTCCTTCCACAACCGCTACATAACCCTACTGAACCAGAAGAACCATCATCTCCACCTTCCACATAGTGAAGTTGTTCGAGCCATTGAATTTCTCTAACTAGAACTTGCGGGATGATATATCATCAATCGACAAAGCAAACTATAGCTCTGATACCACTTGTTAGGAATAAAAAAAGAAAAACCACACACATATAAAGATATAATATTTACGTGGTTGAGTCAATGTTACATCTACGGGCAAATTGGAGTATTCTCATCCACAAATTTGAAAATGATGATACAATATATTCTGGTACCATTTAAAACCCTAGCTATCAACGTTATATATATATATATATATATATATATATATATATATATATATATATATATATATATATATATATGTGTGTGTGTGTGTGTGTGTGTGTGTGTGTGTGTGTGTGTGTGTGTGCAAAGTACACATATAAACCCTAGCAAGAACCGGGTCGGACCTTCATTCCACCGACTAATCAATAGTTAGTTGCTGGTCTAGAAACTGTTTGGCTACTGGTTAGCAAACTAATGGTTCAACAACTACTTGTCAACCAACTAATGGTGTGCCAACTGTTGGTCTTGAATTCTCAAGCCACATTTAACACGAATAAATAATCAAATTCAATTCGATCCTTTACTCAACCTCTAGAATGATGACATACTTAAACAACTATTTGTGTGTATTCCAGTTAGTACGCGAGCTTGATACCCAAACCGAACGGAATCGAAAGTACCCAAACCGAAATAACACAAATGTAAGAACATAATAATGAACCAAAGTATTGTGGACTTAGAAGTTGGAAAAATACCGGAACCGGACCAAATCGAAAGTAGTAAAATCGAAACGACACAAAAGTAAGAACCAAATATCGAACCAATGTATAGGGTATTGTACCAGTTCAATTCAGGAAAGTAGGGTTTAGTTTGAACTTAGAAGTGAGAACCGTACCGATACATAAATTGCACAAAAGTAATTACTGAATAACGAACCAAAATGTAGGACATTGTACCGGTTTGGTTCCTTACCGTCGGTATTTTTGCTCGCCCTTAATTACAACCGAATGCAATTACATTCATTTTGACAACCAAATGCCTCACATACCGTAGTCTCACATTCCAATTCATCCAAATCCCTCCCGGATCAGCAAACCGAACATGCCCATATCTTTTTGTTTTGTTGCCATTAAATTGTCTCACACTATATCCTTAAACAATCTACTAAACCTCAAAAAAAAAAACGAAATTGATTTTAGAAACAATATCGACCAGTTATTTTTGTGACTCCAACATTCTTATACCAATAATAAATGAATTATTCGATGTTAATTTGGTAGCACGATGTAATGTATCGATACAAATGGATATCCAAAGTGAGAGTTGGTGGACGGTCCCCCCTAATTACGCAATTCGAGCCCTCTTTTATTAGATCAGTTCAAACCAAACTGAACTGTATTCGAGATATCGATCGGTATCTACAAAAACATGAAAACCAGCTGTGTATCATGGTATTGTACCAACACACCCAACAATACAACATCACTCTTAAGAGAACCCACACACTGTGTGTCACACATAGCATGAATACAGCTGTTATGAAAATGGACTAAAGAACCAACAGAAAAAAGGGTTACCTTTATTGTACTTATTTTATAAAACTGATAAAATGAACGAAAAGCTGTTGATCATAGTCAATCTAAATCTGATTTAAATGGCCATGAACAGTAAAAGTTTAAATGTTTTTTAAGACATATATGGAGTTCCATATTAATTTAAAAAAAAATTAAAAAAGTTAAAAAAAAACCTTCGAGTGTCCTTTGAAAAGGGTGATTCTAATATATACAGAGACTGCCATATAACACCTATATATTTTAGTTTTGATTCATTACAAAACTTGCCGGACCTAGAACGTATAGTGACAGTTGATTTATTTATATGATGACATTAAATAAAATAAATGTTTATTTAATTGAGAAAAAAAAGACGACAGAGCTTACGTCTTTTTCTTGCTATATGGGTCACAAACAAACGAATGAGGATAATTATTATTACAGAAAAAGAAATAAAAAAAAGGATATAAAGTGACAATAATAGTATAAAATTATTGAACACATAATTTGAATATGCTGATATTTCTTCTTTTGTATTTAATAAATCGAAATTTGCTCCTTTTTAGTAATCGAGGAAAGGGATAACTAGGCATATTAATTTAAATAATATCGAAAGCTGTAAAATATATTATTTCTTTTGAAACACAACCATTATAGTACACAGTTGCAATTATCATATGAATTCAATTTCACATATTATATGAAAATGATTTAAATTCACATGGTTTTTGCTGTATTGCAAAGAAACTCAGTTAAGTATTTTTTTTAGGACATATGATGTCATATATAATATATGTTTTAAATCATAAGCTAGCACTATATGCTTCTAAAATTAAAATGTTTCAGAAGATCAATCTAACAAATAAAAAAAAAAACCCAAAAGGCTTATTGGCTAGCGATATTAGAAACCGTTAGAAATGTGTCTTTTTGAACAAAGATTGAGAGTTCGAGTCTCATTGAAGACAAAATATATTTAAATCTACAAATATGATAATAGGTGCATGTATTAATAATTTTTTATTCTCTATTTACTGATTTTATTAATCAACTCATTTAATAAAACTTCACTTTATTAGATCTTGAATCATTTTAAAATGTTTAAACCATACATATCTTGATTAGATGTATTTTAGTTTATTCTTCAACTATTGTAACATACCAACATGTTTAGAATAAAACCCAAAAGATGTGTAAGAGTGTAATTGGTCAAGTTTGAGGTGGTCACTATAATTGACTCGATAGTTTTTAATTGAGTTCAAACTCGTAATTAACATTAATAATAAGTTGTGACTCATAATTTAGAAGGTTTATAATACAATCATTTTATTATAAACTTTTGTTAAAAGTAAAGTTGCCTTAAAAGGGATACATAAAAAAGAAATAGACATTGTTTTTTATAGTAACCCATGTTAAGGGTAAAAACGTAATTAAATATTTTGATATGGAAAAATGTTTGAATTAGAGGGGAAAAAACGACACGTTGCAGTCATGTTCGCCCTCGTATCATATTTCCATATCTAAAAAAAGTAAAAAAAACGTCCATCCATCGCCAGTTCGCCGCCACACTCTATTCCGGTATGGCACTCAACATAGCTTTAAAGTTCTGCCCCTTTCCACCACCACCGCCGTAGCTCCGGTAGCTCAACCCAAGAGTCTCCGCATCCGCCACCTTACTGGAGCTCCTCGCCCGCCCCTTCTCCCCAGAAAACGTGAAACGGATATTTTTCTGACGACGACGACGACAACCACCTTTGGCCAATGCAGCAGCCGCTTTCACCGCCAATGCGGCCATCTCCTCCGGTTGAAGTGGGTACTTCAATCGTTTCAAGGGTAGGGCAAAGTAGAGCTGACCAGGTTGAAGTTCATCGTCATCTTTAATGGCGGAAACAATATCGTCGAACTCCATGTCGTCGGAGTTACAGATGAAGGTGTCGGGGTTCTTATGAAGAACATCGGAAACCTTGACGGCATAGGAGAATTCCTTTAAGCTTCCGTCAGGTAAAATCAACATAGACTTGGCCACAGATGTTGAGTGGCATGAACAGCAAAGACCCATTGTTGCATGTGGGTTAGCGTTATGGTGGGTTGGGTCGGGGTATATATAGGGAGAAAGGGAAGATAGCATCGTGAATTGGACCGCCTCATGTTGGCAAATCTTAAATAATAAAACATAATACTTCTATTAGTTCCATATAAGTTATAGGTAAATTAGATAAACTTATTTATAGCATACAAAACCTATAATTTAATAGGAATGGTCGATAACTAATTAAACATGCAGATTCATTCATGCCCGTTGAATAGTAAAGTACTACTAATAATAACATCAGTATCGTAGAAATCGGTCGCGACGGCTGATTAATCGGCAATTAATCGTTTGATAACGTCGAACCGATAACGATTAGGGTGCTTAGCGTTAATTATTCAAACTCGACTTTGACAGTCCTTGACGGTCGTCGAAGGTCATAGGCGAAAATATTTAAAAAAAAATTAAAATTTTTAATTTTCAAATATTACATCAAAATTTTAAGTTTTCAAATTTTAAAATATTATACTAAAATTTTTTCAAAATTTAAAGTTTTCAAATATATTTTTTAATATATATTAATTCTTTAAATAATTTTATTAATAATTTAGTGTCCCTAATTAATCTTCATCTAGTCTGATTAGTCGCTTAACGTCTATTCACCGTCGAACTACCGTCGAACGATTTTCACAACATTAAATAATATAATGAACAAAGATAATTTTAAAACTAGATTCTTTATTAATTATCGAAAAAATTGTCTCACATTTTATAAGGAGGATAAGATAAGCCTAATTTCATAACCTTAGGAGATTATAATTGGTTAAGAAAAGATCCGCAATCACGTTTCTAAATTAAAACTCAAAATAAAAACTTGTCGGAAATTAAAAACTAGAAAAAACGTGTTTTTGAGGCTCTAAACAATCTGAAATGGCCGAAAACACTACATGTCATGACAAAGTAATGAGTTTCTTTAATAGCTCCATTTTACATGTCGTGTACGAATTTCGTCCAATTCTGAACTGTTGGATCATTTCGGCTGATTCAGTGTTAATGACATCATGATTTCATTCCTACTAGTGTTGACATCATCAATCCATACATCAATACTTGTACCACCTGCATCATATTCCCCCTCTTGAAAAGGACTCGACCTCGAGTCCGCTTCATCATCATAATACCCAACGAAAGGTGACAAATCTACAACATTGAACGTAACGGACACATTGTAATCACCTAGTGATTTGATCTTGTATGCCTTATCAATGATTTTCTTCAAAACAAGAAAATTACCATCATGATGGGGTATCGATACAAAATATAAGTTAGTTTTCATAAAAACCGGTTAATGGAAGCGTTAAAAATAACAAGTTTATTTTTGAGTTTATAACAAAACCAAACCATCTAGGATCCATTTGTAGAGGTTAGAATGATCTTAAAAACAACCAAATAGTGTTTTAGAATGAAATCCTTTGAAGCCTTTGAACCGACTTTGTTTTGTGGTGTTGATGAAGATAGAAAAATCAAGGTGTATGATTTTCTCTAGAAGTATCCACCATCAAGATTAAGTCGCTTGGAATGCTAGTTCTTCTTGTATTCTTCAGTGTCTTAAGCCTTTAAGTACTTAAGTCAAGCACTAAAGGACACAACTCAAGAGGGCTTCTAATCACCAAACTAGCTTTAAGAGAGAGAGAGAGAGAGAGAGAGAGAGAGAGAGGTGGGAAGTAGAAGAGTTTCGGTCATGCCTTCTTTCTAAGAGAAAAGATGATGAAAATTGCAAGCAACCACTTCTTTATATAGTCAATGCAAAAGCAAAAAGAACCTCATATTATAATGTAAAGTAATAACCTTACTTTAGAGGCATGAGGAACAAAGGAGGGAGGTTGGCAAGCAACCTCTCATTCCTTCATCAACTTTCGGCCATGACTAAGAAAGAAGAAGAGTTGTTTACATTTTATAAAATCCAAGTTTATAAAATATAAACTTTGTCATATGAAATAAATTCAACTAGTCGAAAAGGTTGTGTATGACTTATTAAATCATATCATATGAAATAATAACTAGTTATACTATCTTTTAATTATTACTTTTACAAAACAATAATTATTTCCTAAAATCATATATTAGTAACAATATCACTCAATAATGATTATTGGTCATATAAATTCAACACATCAGCTCTGTGCTGAAGTTTGCTAAAACGCTTGTTCGAAAACCTCTCTTTCCTCAATTTTATCCACACAAATGACATTCACGATACATAACTCGCTTGCGATGTTTATTGGAACGATCAATGTACTGTTTATTATGTTTCTCAATCTGCATACGAATCTATTGGTGAAGCGCTCTAATCTGACTCGACTGCTCGTCACCTTCAACACTAAACTGATCAAAAATAGCTAGAGGAGCTAAGTCAAGTGAGACGATTGGATTTCTGCCATACACAATCTCAAATGGACTTTACCGGTAGTATGTTTAATTGATTTATTATACGCAAGTTATGCATGTGGAAGAGTAAGATCCCATTCTTTGGGACTGTCACCGATCAAACTTCCCAATAAATTTCCCAAGCTTTGATTTGCAACATCAGTCTGACCATCAGTTTGTGGATGGTGAGAACTACTGAACTGCAACTTCGACCCCAAGCGTGTCCACAAAGTACGCCAAAAGTGGCTCACAAATTTGACATCCCGATCAGAAGTAAGCATCTTTAGAATGCCATGCAACATCATACTCTCATAAAACTATACACGAGCCGCCTGACTCGCATCAAATGCCTTGGAGCTAGGCACAAAATGATCAATTTTTGAAAATCGGCCAACTACCACCATGACTGAATCCCCCTGTCGCTGAGTACTAGGCAAACCGAGGACAAAAAACCAAAACTCACATCTTCCGATGGAGTAGTAGGGACAAGAAGAGGGGTATATAACCCAATGTTGCTTCCACGAGCTTTGGCCAAACTACAAATCTGACACCTTGCGATTATCCCATTAACATTTTTCTCCATTTGAGGCGCATAAAATTGGGCATAGGTTAAAGCCAAGGTTTTATCACCACCAAAATGTCCACCAAGTCCATCAGTATGATTCTCAAGTATAATGGCATCCTGTAACGATTTCAAGGTAATAAAAAGGTGAATCCCTTTAAAAATATACCCATCGCTAGTACAAAACTCCTTATAGGTTCTTGAACCACAATTTCTCCATATTTCATGAAAAACAGGATCATCATGATACAAAACTACGAATGGCCTTGAATCCTTGTACGTGCATTTGCATGGTCATAACTAGTAAATGATGTCGACTTAAGGCACCAACAACCTAATTTTGTGACCCGGCCTTATGTTTGACCACAAAGGAAAAAGCTTGCAAATACTCGACCCACTTAGCATGTCTTGCACTTAATTTATGTTTCCCGTTAATGTACTTCAACACGACATAATCAGAAAACAATACAAAATTGTTTGGCAATAGATAATGACGTCAAGTATCCAAACTTCGAACAATAGCATAAAACATTTTGTCATATGTGGAATACTTTCTCCTTGCATCGTTCAACTTCTAACTAAAGAAAGATATCAGTCATTGATTTTAACTAAGAACTCCCCCAGTCTAAACATCGGATACATTACATTCAACCTAAAAAATGTCAGTAAAATTTGGTAATGCTAAAATGAGAGATTGGGTTACCATGGTCTTCAAAACAGAAAACGTCTTTTCAGCTTCAAGAGTCCACAAAAAATGACCACCATTGAGACACTCAGTGATAGGGAAGTAATGTTACTAAAGTTGCGAATAAAACGACGAGAGAATGATGCTAAGACATGAATGCGTCGAATGTCATGCTAAGTCTTTGGAGCCGGCCAATTAAGGATAGCCTCAGTATTGGACTTCTCCATCCTGATGTCGTCCCCCGAGATGACATAACCCATGAAAGTAACTTCATGAACTTGAAAATGACATTTCTTACCATTCATATACAACTTCTGCTCACGTAAAACTGAGAAAACTTGATGGAGATGAGAGAGATGCTCTTCAATAGTTTTACTAAAAATCAAAATAGTATCAAAGTGAACTACTAAAAGTCTCCTAATAAAAGACTTAAAAACCTGGTTCACGAGGCGCGTATATGTACTTGGAGCATTAGATAATCCAAATAGCATAGTCATCCACTCGTATAACCCATCACGAGTCTTGAAGGTTGTCTTCCACTTATTTCCTGGTGTCATTCTAATTTGGTGGTATCCACTTCTCAGATCGATCTTTGAGAAAACCATCGTGCCATGAAATTGGTCTAATAGATCATCCAACTGAGGAATAGAAAAACAATATTTGATTGTGATCTTGTTAACAACTTGAAAATTGATATACATACGAAACACGTCAATCATGCTTTGGAACCACATAGAATCAAGATTTCTCGAATCAAACCCTTCTCTAGCAGTTCTAAAACTTGTTGAAGTTCTTCATATGCTTTTGGATTCATCCGATAAGTTGCCATGTTCGTAATAGAAGACCCCAGAATGAAGTCAATACAATGTTGGATATCTCTCATCAATGGTAATCTAGGTGGGATCTATTCAGGAAAAATATCCATAAATTCCCCGACCAAAGGGTGGACTGCAACTGGAATTTTCCCACCTAATTCGTTCTTTTCCGCTACTACCAAAGAAAACATAAAGGGACTACTCTTCGCTACCAGCTCAAAATCAGCATGTTCAGAAACAACATAGCCTTTTTTTTCTTTAACTCAACTTGTATCCAGAGGGACCAACGTGATGTTCACCCTATCCTTTTGAAAAATGTAGGTATTTCGAAACTCATCATGCTATGTATGCCTATCAAACTTCTTTAGTCTCCGTAGTAGAATGTGGCAAGCATCCTTAGGAATAACTTCACATCACACCTTATCTGGATAACTTTTACCCATGGAAAACTGCATTAAAGAACACTTTACTTACCTTAACAACATTGCCCTTTTTCAGTCAAGTAAGTTCATAGGGTTCCAGGTGATCTTCCTCCTTTAGC